TAGTGTCAAACAAGCGTATACTATCAACCAATTTTGAAAATCGGAACCTGAAAACGAAAATCAGAATCAGTAGATGTGACATACTACACATAAGCTAGTTAGAAATAACCTTTTGAATGATTTTGATGTGTTTTAAATTATATACCAAGAGGCGAAAATTAACCAACTTCATGAAAATTCTTAAATGTTGATTTTGACAACATATTTTGCACGGGTTAATAATGATGATGAAATCATTTGGAATTTTATTTCTAACTAGTTCATGTGTAGTAGATCACATCTACCCATTTGAATTTTTATTTTTGAGTTCCAATTTTCAAAATTGGGTTGATAGTATAGGCATGTTGGATACTATTAACGGTAGTCGGTAGGCTAGCTCAGCTCATATATACATATATATGAAAATAAAGGGAAAAAAAATAAACAGATGATATGCTAACTACTACATGCTTATGCTTCCTAATATCATAGATAGGATACGAAAAGACTATATTAGCACTATATTTAAGAGATCTGATCGAGAGCAAGGATGATGCAGTTAGATTAATTGAGGGGATCGAGGACAATATTGAAGCCATTCATGGGATACATGTTGAGGAAGATGACGAGATCTAATCAGAAGGATGAGATTTGATAGGAGAGCAATACAATGATAATTGAAGCGGATGACAATAAGAGGATGAAATGCTGGAGACAATGAGATCTGACGGTTTGCCGGCCGGCTTCCGAGGGGGAAGCTAGCGTAGGGACATCAGCCATCTGGAGCCTGAAGTTTCGGAAGACAAGATCAGTTTCTCTAGGTTAATAACCCGTACTTTGATAGCACATTGAAAAAAGAGGAAAACGCTAATTTATTGATATTCATAATAGCATCCTTTTCATATCCTATATATACACAAGAGTGGTTATATAATGTAAGAACGAGTAAATACAAGATGATGATGATGATGATATATCTATCAACAATACTTACATATTTATAGATAATAATATAATAATTAATGAACAAAAAAAATAACATAATAAGCGGCAAACCCTCAATCAACAAGGACAACAGAATGGAATGAGCAAACAATCCATATCAATTGCTAGTTCGGCACCGTTTAGGTTAGGAAGGAAAGAAAGGAAGGAGATTTAATGGAACCTGCTGACGCTGGAACCTGAGAGAAAATTTGCCGGAGTTTGGTGACTTCTGGATTCGAGCTCAGCTCCCGATCTCCGCCGAAGTCAACCTTCCCACTCATTGGCGCTCCCTTGCTCCGAGGAGGTAGACGATGTGGAATCAGTTGGACGAAACAAATAATCGCGTCGCACTCTCACCTAGGTGTTCCATCCCCACGCAACCCATGTGAATTTGAATTAGCCTCGCGCTGAAGTCGCAGCGCGAGCCGCTGGTGCGCTTTTTTTTTTTTTGTTCATTTATTTCGTATTGTTCCCCGGCCGGTATCTTTCTTTTTCGGATTGAGTCCCCGAACAAATGAATTTTGCTATTTGGTCCACACATCATATGAGTGGTCCGTACGAACCGTGGGAAATATTCCCTGAACTTTATTTTTTGTGATGGAAAGTACGTTATACTCTTTCTAATACGTACAAAACAAACTTCATTTGGGGGAGAGAAGAAGGATTTTAGTGTTGATGGGAATTTCTTTCCATTTCTCAAACGAGGAAGCGGGAGCAGAAAAGAGGGGAAATTAATGTTTGGATGGTGGGAGTCACTTAGTCGGATTATTTTCTTAGGTTGCACATCCATAGTTAAGCACCAATTCAACTGTGTAGTTAGTGGATTGGATGGATCTTGTAATTGAGACCAAATTTAAACATCTTATATGATATAGGTATCTAGTAGTAATTTGAATTATTTCAGGGACTAATCTTGAATAGGAAATTATTGAGCGGCTGATATTGAAATAACCCTTTAATTTTTATGGGTCCGCTCAATCTCATCTCTTCTGATTTCAGGCTCTTAATTAGAAAATTTATTGTTTACAACTTTGAAAAGCAACCTTTAGAGTATTTATTAAGAAAAATGTTATAATTTTTATGTAAAAATAGAGTAGCACTCGTCACACCTATTTTCCCACATACACGAATGAGAGGCATAACCCCCTGGGCATTGTGTACATCTAGATGGGGAATATCCACATTGTAAAATGAGTAACAAATTGATTCAGGAATTCAAACAATTCTATTCACTGTAGCAGAAGTACATATGTACAGAACTAGAGGGAATCAGAGTCCCATGAATTATGCATTGTTGTGCGCGGCGGAAGCTTTCTTAAACAACACGAACAATAACTCGAACTAACCCACAACTAATATTCAAACACAACCACAGCAAGAACAAATGATTTACATGGTTCGGCAAGTTGCCTACGTCCACGGGGCAAGGAGGGCGGGAGTTCTTACTATTAGAAATCAGAGAATACAAGTAGAGTTACAAATCTCACTGATCAAACCCTAAAACAAAGCTCTTGATCTCTCACAACTCTCCCACAATTGGATGCAACAATCCTCTCTCAAAGACTGCTCAAATTCGTCCTTACTTAACCCTAACAAATCAGGTTTAGGGTTATATATAACTTAGAAACGAATCGGGTCAAAAAGCAAAACCCAGCCCAGAAATCATCGACGGTCGACCGCGGCGGTCGGCCGCGCAGGTCTCGCAGTCGACCGCGGCAGTCGACCGAACCACAAACCCGAGATAAGTCTGTGTGCACGTTGGCGGTCGCCCGCCAGTCTGTCTGGCTTCTGTCTGGCTGATTCTCTGCTGTTTCCTGTATTTCTTCATGCCTCGCGTGTGCTAAACTACAGGAGAGGAATAGCTAATGTGTGCCAAACTAAAGGAGAAAGATTAATAGCACATGCACACTCCATAGTCTCGCAAGAGAGAGCCCAACCAAGTTAACATGGCTCGATATTCAGCCTCCGTAGATGATCTTGAAACCATGTTCTATTTCATCGACTTCCAAGATACAAGCCTTGAATCTATTTATACACAATAGCTAGAGATGGAACAACAAGTAACTGAGCAACTGGCCTAATGTGAATAGCAATAATCAACAAGTTTATTATGAAAACATTAAGTCCAGGGACACTTGCTCGACCGGGGTATACTCAAAGGCGGCATAGTCTCTACATCAACTTTAAGTCTAGGAGAAGAGTGCCTCGCTACAACAATAGAGCCCCTCTTCCTACGAGTCATCTCAATCTAGCATTACAAAAAACAAAGAGGTTTAGCAGAAGGCATATATCATCAAATAATAGCTCCATTTTTTTGCAAGGTCATATGCATCCCACTTCCTGGCAGTGGCACCCAATCTTAAGGAGAGGCATCTCCCAGTCAGCCAAGAACGAGATCAAAGCTCTCCTTAATCACCTCGCCCACTTCTCTATTCAAGCCTCTGCCAGTCCAGACAAGCCTCTCTGGCCATATCACCCCTCAGGCTCTTATTCTGTTAAATCTCTCTATGACCTCATCACCTCAGGTGGCTCTCTGGCCATATCACCCCTCAGGCTCTTATTCTGTTAAATCTCTCTATGACCTCATCACCTCAGGTGGAGTAACCTCTCTTCACCATTCCTTTATTTGGAATTCCCCCATCCCTTTGAAGGTAAAATTTTTTTTCTGGATTGCTAGTAAGCTCAAGTTGAATTCCAGGGACAACTTGATTACCAAAGGTTGGGGGGTAGTCCTCTCTGCCCTGTCTGTAACGAGGAATCTGAATCACATGAGCATCTATTCATAAGGTGTGTCATTTCGTCATCAACGTGGGCACTTCTCCTTCCTCTCGTTCCTCCAGCTGCTCGGCCTCATCACCTAGAAGACCTGATCTCTCTAAACTTCAACTCAGTCCTCTATCAGGATATTGTCATATTATGGAGAGTTTTTTTACCGTGCTGCTGGTGTATATGGAATAGCAGAAACAATCTTATCTTTAACGGTATTAATGTTAGTCATCACCGCATCGCCTCTAATATCGCAAGATATGTTCTTTTTTGGACAGGCAATACTGGTAGTAAATCAGGAGCCAAGCTTCATCAAGCTGCTATTAATCTGGGTTTGAAGCATATAGCACAAGACACCAGTGATGCAGAAGTGGGTGATAACTTCTCTTATGCAGGTTGATCTCTCCCTGTCCTCCCCCCTCCCCTCCAGTCTCTTGGCCCAGCTCGTTTTGGAGGTCTCTAGTCATCCTTGTTATTTCTGAAGCACTCCAGTCTTATATGTAGCTGCTCAGCTCGTTTTGGAGGTCTCTAGTCATCCTTGTTATTTCTGAAGCACTCCAGTCTTATATGTAGCTGCTAATGTTTTATTTTGGTAGATGTTTTCCCTAGCAACCAGTGTATCAGGTCATCTTGAGACCAGTTTCGTTTTCTGATGTTTTTTTCTTTCTCTCTTTTGGTTAGACTATCCCAAGTTGTCGGTCATGTAATTATCTTTCAGTACATGTTTTTCATATACATATATATCTATAATATGCAGGGTATCTCACCCTGTCTCCAGTCAAAAAAAAATATATCATCAAATAATATTATTATGAAATACTTACATTAAACATGCCTTAAACTACCCGAACTAAGCCTTCTACCTTTAGGAAAAAAAAAAGAATTATGTGATACATGTCTCTAAGCTCATGTACTTCTATACCTCAAATTTGATCTGATAATGTCCATATTGTCCTCAATCACACTTCAAAATATACTTCAAAATATATTATCATATCCCATCATTATTATTATTTCTCAAAATCTAACTAGGACCTATAACCTAATCTCTAAGACCAATCTGTCATGACACCAATGTTCCCAACCTAAAAGGAATATTAGTGTCGGACTAAACCTATGAAAATATCCATCAAAATCTACATCATCGAAAGACCACAAAAAATAACCTCACCATTGAATTAAAACAAACAACAAATAATCTCTATAATCCAAAAGTCAAATATTAATCCAATTAACTTGAGGTAAAAAAATATTCCTCAAATAGTAATAAAACTCAACCTAAAGGAAAGAATCCCATTAGTATTATTACAAACCTATCAAATAATAACTAAACATCAAATACTTATTTAACTTCCACTTATAAGAAATTTAACAATCTGCAATTTTATTCCTTTCTCTCTTCTAATAATTTAGGAACCATCAACTCCACCTAATCTATAATATTTGAAAAGAATGAATATAACACAATGAGTTCACAACTCAATAAATGGATAAATTCATATATTAAACACTGGTTTTTTAAATACTAGAATACTTTGACTTAATAAGAAAAATATTAAAATAATAAAAAATGATCAATGAGCTCATAACCTTGATACAAATATCTTTAAAATAAAAATTTCATGAGATGAAGAATGAGTAGGTCACATTTCAATGCGGTCAACACTTCACACTTCGGTTGACTCGATAAAGCCCATAATTATTAAACTCGTGGTTTCAGGACGGTGAGACCCCAATTTGGGCTCTTAGCACTAAAATAAAACCTCATAGAGGCACATTGACCCTGTTTAGATGACTTACTTATCTCCCATAAATACTGGTATATTGAATGGAAAAAGCTCATGTAACCAAATACTTTATAAAAAAAATTCCAAAGGTCAACCAATAATGAAATCAATACCGTATGCATCTCAATGACTACTATATGAAAAGATATGATTGTCAACAAAGAAATAAGCATATGCTTATACTAATTATCCGTGTGCATCACATTATCAACAATTAATATGTGAGTAAATCATATAAAAAGGATGTAATCCATTGGAACCAATGCACATATATTTGCTATAATTTTATATGAAAAACACGCAGCGCAAATGCATAAATTCACCACTTGCACAAACCCGAAAGACTATCGAAATACCAATCTCGTCATCTCCTCGAAGTCACTTGGAACCCCTATCTTTTTACTATTACATATTTTCTAAATTGTTATGCATTAAAATGCCTTTAGCCAAGGAATTTAAATGCACGAACAATGAAAGAGGACACGAAGTACTCTACTATTATTTTTCTTTTGGAATTTAAATGCGTGATTGATTAAAGAGGACATGAAGTGCTCGACTGTTATTTTTCTTTTGGAATTTAAATGCATGATTGGTTAAAGAGGACATGAAGTGCTTCACTATTATTTTTCTTTGGAATTTAAATGCATTATTGATTAGGTGGTGCTTGGTTCTATTTCTATTAAAAAAAGGGAAAATGAAATCACTCAAAAAAATAATTTCCTTGTATTTCTATCAAAAATTATAAGAAAAGCCTTGAGAACTTAAAAAGTTGCAAATTTTCTTAT